TGTGTTGCTGGCTGGATGAATTTGGCACCAGCACTTCCAGCTGCTGACCCCTATTTAGTGTACTGAACTCAATACTGCCTACAATGCTGTTAATGCCACACCTTCTCTGGAACGCAATTCCTTTCGGCATTATACAGGTGCCTTTGCTGTACTATTTTTGGTGCCTGCTAAAAACTTCTTTGTTGAGGCAGTATTTATTTATTCTTTGTTGTAATATTATATATTTTATGTAAACTTCTTAGAGGTGCTTACAATTAAATAAAACAGAAATCTGGTTAAATAAAAAATACACAGAAACCTGCTTATGTGCATAGGTTTCCTTAACTGAATCACCAAGTGGTAGCTTTATTTTCTAACACAATATCTGATATATATATATATTTAAATGGGAGTCCTTGGTTTTAACACAACAGCGTCTTCTAAGAGAAATTATTTTAAGTCATTATAAATAGTTGTGTTTACAGTGAAGTGTCATAACAATGGGCACCATCATGTTTGGTGTCCTCTGCTTCCCAAAAGCCACTGCTCACTTAAATGGCTCTACTGTTTGCTCCTCTTTATAAATCAATATTGCATCACATCTCAAAACATCTATCTTCCATAAAGGCTTCTCACCCAAAGACAAAATGCCTAAATGTATGCAGCTGAACACAAAAATTATTCCTTCCACCTTTATCTCTCTTCTATACGTTTTTCTTCTTTCTTGTAGTTAGAATTTAGTAAGTAGCCTCCTCATGGTGAATAACTGTGTGGTATTTGATTTAATAAAGTGCCGTATACTCTGGCAGTGTACTATTAGGTGTTTTTCCTGAACACTGCTTCAAATACTCTAAAGCAGAAAGGCAGTTTATAAAATTCTAATCAAAATCTAGAAAACTGGATTATAGAATCATAGAATTGTACAGTTGGAAGGTACCCCAAGGGTCATCTAGTACAACCTCCTGCAATGCAGGAATCTCAGTTAAAGCATCCATAGCAGATGGCCACCCAACCTTTGCTTAAAAACCTCCAAGGAAGGAGGGTCCACAACCTCCCGAGGGACACCCTTCCACCGTCGAACAGCTCTTACTGTGAGGTTTTTCCTGATGTTTAGTTGGAATCTCCTTTCTTGTAACTTGAAGCCATTGGTTCATATAGAAGTATATTAATTTCATACTCTTAGAGAACATCAGCTACATGTTGAGAAACAAGACTCACTATGCCTTCTACAATACTGCTCCTTAAATAACGTTAGCAGAGCAAAAAATATAATTAAATCCATCTAATGCTCCCCAATGTTAGCTAAAGGCTAGCAAAGTTAGGGGCTAGCTAAGTGGTTCTATCAATTTATTCAATCAATTGGACATCACCACTCACAGCGCCCTATCCCCATTAGTCATCCACTGAATCTCCAAAAGCAGGGGCACCCACAGTAGGTTCTCTAAAGATCTCAAGGAATTTAGACATTCGCACAGAATCAGACACCCTTCAGAAGCCCCAATTCTGAACTTTCAATCAAGACCAGTACTTTACTTGTACTCAATGGCTTGGATCCAAAGATATTTCCTAAAAGCAGAAAGGCACTTCCATTTGTACAAGGCAGCCCTCTCAAGCTGTACCCATTTCCTGCTGCAGTCACATGCCCCATCAAACAGTGTTCAAAAGGACCCTTGACCTTCAGGAACAGCTTTTCGGAGGCACAGAAGATTGATGTGTGGAAGATGAGCCAAGAAAACCCCATTGTGTGAGCAGAGTTCCACTCATTTTCTCTCAGGATCCAACCAACTGAATTAAGATTAAAACATAATATATACTGGCAGGATAAGTTCCAAGCAGCTATTTCAAGTGAAGTTTGGACATCCTACATACAACACTATGCAGTGTGGATGTTAACAGCAAAGATCTGTAGAAAGGCGAATTATGCCCAGGAGGCACTGCAGCAGGCACACTAGGTGAAACTGGTGAAAAGTGTTTCATTTAACAGATGCCACTGGGACCTCCAATATTAAAGACAAATCTAAATGGAATCTGAAAGACATATTGCTTGTATTTCTCTGGCCTTTCATCTCTAAACAATATTATTTAGCTACTCCAATGAGGGTGACAATCTGTTGTACACTGGAAATCATACTGCGAATATAATCTTATACATAATTACCTAAGAATAAGTCCCATTGAACTCAATAGGACTGACTTCTGAGTAAATAGGCATAAGATTGCACTGTAAAAGTTTTCTTAGATAAAATAAGCAAAATTTAGCTGTTTGTTCTACTCACTGAGTTGGAATAAAAAGGGACTCTAGTATGGGAAGAATAAATTTCTGTTAATGCAAGGTGGGTTCTGTGGTGTCTTGTAACTCCCTCCTCCATATACATAAAGATCCTCTAATCCTGGAGTGGGTGAGACAGCACATTCTGTAAGTGGTTTCTAGGATCCAATCCATCTTGCAGAATTTTCCAGGAAAACATTGTCTTCTCATCAAAACTTTAACACAAGCTCCCAAATTAATTTCAGCTTGTACACCACTAAGAAAACCCCTACAATAACATCACTTGAATTTTCCAATATCTGATATGTATACTGAGGTGTTAAAGTGTCAATATAGCCACTGACCAGAGGACATGATTAATTGGACAGTATATAAACACCAAATATAAATATTAAGCTTTGAGTATAGTTTTAGCAAGATCAGCTGCAATTTTCAAAACTTTAGACAAATATATCCTCTCATTTTAAAAAAGATTTACTAGTGCACTATTTTTAAATTTTTAAACAGTATACAGGATATGAATCAGATGGGATTTCAAACACCATCTGCATAACAATCTGAAGAAACACATCTACAAGAGTTTCCTAGTACCCTGCTGTATTTTCTAGAGTATTTGCAGAAGTATCCTAACAATCCCACTTCAAAGTGAAATGAAGCGTTCAAAACCATTAAGTGAGAGAGGACTAAAAACCACCAGTTTAATTGAAGTTAACATCAACAAAAGCAATGCTAGGATTTTTCAATATTTAAGTACGGTTACCAATTCATCTACATACTACTTTCAAAATTCAACCAATTCTTGAAATAAAACATTGGGCTAAATCCAAAGGTTCCATTCCACTCATTAAAGGGACTGCCCATCCATGGAAATAGTCATCAGTGATTGAAAGAAGTCATTTCATTCATGAAACAGAACCTTTCAGTTCAACCTCATGATTTTACTTTTCAGGATTTGTATTCCTGCAGTCATACCCATATGATTGCAAACTAGTTGGCAATTAGAGAACAAACTTTAAAAATAGAAGAAGAAAATGCTCATTCCCTATTCAGGCCATTTCCTCAAAATGTAATATTTTTATTGACCGTTCAAGAAAAGAAGTCTGCTGTTGAAACACACCAGACAATTAAAAATAGATAGCAAGAAACTTCAGAAAGACAGTTTTATTAACAGGAGGCTTAGTAATTTTAACAGTGTAGTACAATCATGTCATTTTTCAGGAATGCACCATCTCTGTTCCTGTCAAAACAGTTTCAAATCCATGAATTACAAAATTTGTAATACAGCCACCACTTCATTGCAACACTTTCACACAATCCTTGAATTACTGTACTGCAAAATCCTCTCATGATGCAGCAATTCAGCATGTTTTTTCATTCACCTAACACACTGGATGACTAGAATAGAATGGTTGCCACTTCTACATTATGCCAGGCTGTGCACTTCAGATGTTCCATCATACTCAACTCAAATGGACACTGTTTCCCTTTAACTGGGATCAGAATAGCTTAAAATGTTTTTTAAATATACAATGATTTGCAAGTGTTTTTTCAGGCAACTTGTTGAATCTAATCATGGACAGTCTTTGATTTGCATCATCCCTCTTTCATTAGAGTTCTACCAAGAAAGTGACAATTCTACACAGAATTTGAACAATGTAATCTATTGGAAAGACTTTAAGAACTCAATTTGTGACGGGAGACATTTCAATGCTTTAATATCTTAAGTGATCATAGCAATAATTCACAAGATTTCATGGAATCATAGTAACACAAATGATTGCTAACATTAACACTTTGCATCAGTCCCTTATGTTCACTTAATAAACCAAGAGATTTCAGAAGGGTGTGGTTCAAAAATATACACAACATACAGAGTGTACAAAAACCAAGTGATGAGGATCCTATCCCAACTGTAACATACAATCCTAACAAATCCATCTAATCAAACAGTTATACTTTCAAATTGTGGCATGGTATGGCACCTCCATGTATTCAATATTAAGCATACAGTAAAGATGCAGAGTAATAAATGAAGGTATCTGCACTTGTGGCAAAAGCCTTATTCTATACAGTCAGTTGAAATATGAACTAAAATTATTCCACAAAAGCTGGAATTTTACAGATTGTTCTGTTTATGTATAGGAAAACTGCCTATATGTTTCTCAATGTACATAATTTCACTGTCCATACACCAAGAATCTTTGAAAAAATAAGGTACATAAACAATCTGTGTATACTTAGACTTTATTCAGCTGCAAAGTTAAACTCGGGACTTTTAAGCAAAATAACCCCCAAAAAACAAAAGCAAAAAAACTTTGACCTGTGTAAACAAAGAAATTCAGCCAGCTTTTAACCAACTCTAGAAATAGCTACTTCCTATTTTACAATAGCTTGCAACAGCACCCACTAAGAGATCACTAACTTCATCAAGACAGTTTTCCTCATCCAAGATTTCAAAAAACAAAAACACAATCTAGACTCCTTGATAAACATTGCATGGTTAATTTAGCATTAGCAAACTTTTTCTACTGATGAGAATCCTTCTTTATGTATCTGTACTGGTAGAACAACTGCACATTTCCCCTTGCAGTGATTGCTCTGTAAACAATTAAACCAGTCAAATCAAAACAAATGGAAAGTTTAAACAATTTATAGGTTCTAACCTGGAGCTACTATAAAACAGTCTGAATGCATAAATCACAGCACTAATATCTATTCTACAAACATTTTATATTACCAGCTACCCTAGAACAAGTTTGACTTTTCTTGAGCCTATTGGCCTGTCATTCAGATCAACAACAGCTGCCATTGCTTCATCACGAGATTCAAATGCAACCATTGCTTCACCTGTTGGCATGCCCTTTTCATTGTATTTTAAGCACACTGAACCTGGGATTACTTGGTAACCATAGAAGAAATCCAAAATTTCATCCACTGATACAGTAAAGGGCATATTCTGAACTTTAATGACAGTTGGCCCTGGCTTTCCAGAGCCAGCTCCAAACCCAGGTGGCCCAGCAATATGCAAGTTTCCAGGTCCAGGTCCAAACCCTGGAGGTCCACTTAAATGTCCAAGCGCACCACCAAGACCTGGAGGTCCACTACCAAAGTTAGGAGGAACAGTTAAATTACCAGGCCCATTTCCAAAGTTCTGAGGACCTCCAGTGAAACCTGATGGCCCAGTTAAATTGCTAGGCCCACCTCCAAAACCCGGAACATCAATTCCTGAACCAGGCAGACCAGGCAGGCCACTATTTCCAATAGAAGGCATTCCTGGCCTTGAATCACCAAAGCCACCACCTATTCCTGGAGGTGGAAGAGGGGGGCCAAATGCATTAGACCCACTGAAATTGCTGGGAAAATGAAAAGGAGGACCACTGTTTGCATCTTTGGGGCTATTACCTATGAAAGTATGTTTATCCCCACCAGCATTCTGCACTCCTGGCATTAGTGCACTCCCTTGCAATGGCATTTTCAACATTTTTTTCCCCTGGGAGGGAGGATTTCTCTCAATTTCTCTCATTTCTTCAAGGGAAATAACTCTTAGCACAACATCTCTCCCATTTAGTTTCTTTCGATGCAGGCGCTCTGATTTACGAGCATCTTCTTCAGCTTTGAATTGGACCAGTGCTTGTCCTAAACCTTGCCCATTAGTATCAACAAGAATTTGTATAGAGTTCTCTTCCACTGCCAGTCCCTCTAGAAACTGAAGGATTTCCATTTTAGTAATGTTGTAGGGGATATTGGATATATGTGCACATAGTTTAGAAGGGCCAGTCTCCCCTTCAGTATTCATAATGATCTCACGCTGATCATAGTTGAAGTTCTGCATTCTTTTCCGAATCATTTCTATCTTTTCTAACATAGCTTTTTTTGTTATGGGATGTACTTGAATGAAACGATTTCCAATGTACTGCTTATGATGACACAAAGCTGCTTTGTAGTCAGTTTCATTTCTGAACTCAACAAAACCTTCACCAAGTGCTTTCCCATTGGGTCCATAAGCTATGTAAATACTGTCTTCCACAATATCCAGCTTTTTAAAGAAATCTATTACATGCTTGTTCTCAGATTCAAAAGGAAGTCCTTTTAAATAAACACAGAAGCCCTGGTCATGTGGTGATCTGGATCTGGATCTTTTCTGACCATTAGGTGATTTAGACATAGAGTGAGTCTGAGGAGAAGGATGATTTTGTCCAGAAGGACCCATGGTTTGCTTGAATGTTATATGGCCTCCTGCAGACACCCACTGTCTCTCTGTTGCAGGACCAACTTCGACATAGCGCTGAATCATCAGCATCCTGTTTCGCTTCAAGGCTTCAAATGTATCTTGAGGAGAACAAAACTTAACTAATCCATTTCCATTATTTCGTCCTACATGATCTTTCAGTATATGCACTGCATCCACACGAAGTCCATGAAAAAAGTCTTTCACGTCAGATTCTGTTGCTGAGAATGGCATTCCATGCACACTGACATACAGATCATCTGGATTGATAGGAAGCGATTTCACACCACTTTGAGAATTGATCTGAATAGGATTTATGGGACTCATGAACATTGGATTCAAGTTAGTGCTCAGATTCATGGCTGTTCCAGATCCATTCATTCCTGTAGGCAAAGGTGCTACAGGTGGGGGATTCATTGGAGGCATTCCTGATAAAGGAGGCAGAGGGGTCATAGGTGGCACAGGAGGTACAGGAGGAATTGGGGGAACTGGAGGAACAGGAGGCAGTGTAGGTACTGGAGGTGGGACAGGGATGGGAGGAATGGAAGGCATTGGGGGCAATGATGGCAGAGCCGGAATTGGAGGTATTGGTGGAGGTGGTACTGTGTTCATTGAGGATGCTGTACTAGGTATGGTGGAACTAAAGGTGGGACTTCCAAAAGTAGCACCAATATTAGGAGGAGCAGTTCCCATACTGGCAGTGGAGAATGTTGGTATGTTTTTGTTGCTTTCATGAACTGAAGTAGCTGCAGTAACTACACTAGGAGAGGGACTGTTAAAGTTAGGTACTGTCGTAGGAAGAGTCACCCTGCTACTTATTCCAGAACTAGGTGGAGGCCCAGACCTGCTAGCATTTGCTGGTGGCATATCTAGATTTGCTGTTTCAAAGCGCCTGCGACTGAGTTCAATCATATTCTGCATTTCAGTTTTACTGCTCAGCAACAGTGTTACTTTGGACCCTTTAATGGTACCACCTGTGCGCATCATACCAAGCCTTGCATCTTCATCAGTGGCAAAGACGATGAAAGCCTCACCCAGCTCACCCCCTACAATATGCACGCCCCCATCAGGAATGGTCAATCCAGAGAAGAAGTGGCGAATGTCCATAGTCCCCGCCACAATTGGGAGACCTTGTAAGCGGATGACCACAGCCATGCTGCGCTGAAACACACACACCTGCAGATGAGAAAAGGCAACGGCTAGGTCAGACTATTTAAGACACCATATGCTTAACCTAGATACTTATGTTTAAAAGCTCCTGCAGATCTTAAATCAATTTACAATTTGTGATCTTTATTCATGCAGCTTTCTCTACAAAGTACTTTTAAAGCACAATTGCATCAAAGCTTTCCAGTAAATTGCAATATGGAATGTTAAAGGCTGTTGACAAGAACACAGTCAAAAACTGGAACCAAGACAAATCCTTCTGGAGAACACCAGCTTCAGATATGACAATCCAAAAGCAAACTTCTTGCATTAAGCTCATTTAGCTCAAGGCTGGAATAATATTTTAGGCTCCTGTTCACCAATGAACTTTTTATTTTTAAAACACTTATCTTATGTCACAATCTTATACTTCAGTCCCACACAGGAATGCATAACTACTTCAAAATTCCTATACATCACATTGCTTGGTATCTAGAGACATGAAATCTCTAAAGCCTATTCCTTGCTCCTCACTTTTGTTCTTTTTTTTTTAAAAGAATCTCCTCCTACTCTGCAGCTTTCACAAAGCCATTAATTCCTTTATACAAGCAAGCCAATACTTGGTTTGGTGTCTGGATGGAAAACTAGAATTACCAGGCACTGCAAGATGTATTTTAGAAGTCAGATGGGAACCAGTAATACACCTCTCCTGCACCCTGTGTTTGATTATGTTGCTGTTTCAGATAATGCCCCTCTGAAATAGCTACATAGTACTGTTAAAAGCCTTCCTAAATTAAAAAAAGGACTGGCATCTCTAGGAAAAATAATGTGATAAAGGAAATAGTATTTAAAATGTTCATGATTTCTTTTTTTTTTTAAACCCTTTTTTGTTAAAAGAAAATGCTTTTAAAACCATTCATGAGCTTGCTAACATGAAGGGATAAAAACTTACGTAATTGCTTTTGAAGTATCATAAAATTTTCAATAAATTGGCTTTGATTTAGTTGAAGCTCATCAGAAGAACCTTCCTTTTTCCTTATGGTTGCAGAGAGAACTATAAAATGAACTTTAGCTGAAACAACCAAGTAGCCAGTAGCCAGAAGTATGAAAAATAAATGCTCCAACGGTCCCATGTTGCCTGGGATTTACAATCACATTTTCCCATTACTAAACAAATCAGGAAACCAGCTTATGCCACCAGAATACTGGAAGCAAATTTCATTTAAACATTTTTTCAATATATCTATGCTAGATCAAAGAGGCAACGTTCGAAGTCATCCACTAATAATGCTAAATCTCATTAAGATACAGAGAGTACTTCACATTCATCCTAATGTCTAAGTGCTGGAAGGGCTATTGATGTACTGGATACTGTACATCATATTTGGTGAAGATGTGGTGTCACAGTCTTTCTGAAGTTCATTTAGTTCCTGGTAGAAATAATTATAATAGTTATTGTTTTATTTAAACCCTTCCCTTCAGGCTGATAACAGTGGTTTTGTGTTGTAATATATTTTGTCCAGCTTTACAATGTTGCTTATATTTACTGTAGTAAGTACTCTTAATTAAAGAGTTTTCTTTTTAAAAGCATAAGAAAATGTAGATTATTCAAATGCAAGCAAACAATTTAGTACAAGTTAAAGCAAGCATTCAAAACTAGTACAACATATTAGTGGAAGATGCTGTACTGTTTTTAATATTCAGTTGGAAGCCACCCAGAATGGCTGGGGAAACCCAGCCAGATGGGCGGGGTATAAACTATTATTATTATTATTATTATTTGGACAGCAACATCTACAAAACATTTATTCTGCAGAAGTGTTATAATCATAACCTAGGCAGCAAAATCAAAAGAGTGAATAGGCCTATTCAGTAGAATACAGACCTCAGCACATCATAAAAAGGCTAAAACATTTTTGTTAAAAGATTGAATAAGCTGTAAACCATGTTATATAATATTGAGGGTGCCTATGACTGGAACCTTTGCACAGAGGCTCAAGTTCTATTAATATCTTCAACTGGTTTTTGAAGTTACAGATAGGTAGCCGTGTTGGTCTGCCATAGCTACTGGAAGGAATTTTTTTTGTTTTGGTTTTTGAAGAACATTCAATTTTGCATGTTCAAGACCCACCACAAATATACAGTGGTACCTTGGTTTAAGAACAGCTTAGTTTATGAACAACTTGGATTAAGAATGCTGCATACCCAGAAGTAGGTGTTTTGGTTTGTGAACTTTGCCTTGGAAGCAGAACATGTTCTGCTTCCTGTTGAGTGTGTTCCATTTGTAAATTGAGGCCCCCACTGCTATGGGAAAGCATGCCTTGGTTTAAGAACACTTTGGTTTAAGAACGGACTTCCGGATTAAGTCCATAAATCAAGGTGTATTGTCTGAAGATACCTTGTTGCATACCTTATTACCACAGTTATTCAACTGGTGCTCCAGGATCTAAAGCAGACTGCAACAGCAGAACTACTGCCAAACATATGTGGTCTGTGGAAGTGATCTGAACACAAGTTGGGGGCGTAAAATAGTAGGCTTATGTACACTCCGATGTGTGCAGGCACCAGGAATGCAACCCTGCGCAAATAGGACAAAGCCTGTATGATGAAAATTAAGTATAAATGCCCAAACACATGTCTGCACTTTAGCCTGGTCCTTGGTCTGAAAAACGTAGAAGCCTCCTAATCTGACCTACATAAGTATTTCACTTGCACTATGTGCACCAAAATTCTGATCTTACACAAAAACAGGGACATGCTTTCAATCATCACAAGTAAGCAATAGTATTGTTTACAGCCAAATCTTTCTCTGCAACCATAAGGAGTTTTGAGATAAACCAGTCCAGATATATACATTCTATTAATCAAAACTATTAAGTCTGTCTTAGGAACCTGCTGAAATATTGAGACACCAAAGTCTTGTTCCATACTTCATCACCAGAAATGTCACTGGTAGACCATAGGAACAGGGCCTTTTCTGACAATGTGCAAATATTTTGGAACGTCATTTTGAGAGATGTCTACTTGGCTCCATCTTTATTTGTTTTCATGTGGGTAGTTCACAAAGCTTTTGTCTTTTATACTTACCAAAAAGCTATGCTGTGCTGTTTATTTTATACCAAACTGTAGTTACTGATGTTTTAGATTTAATAGCTGCTTTGATTATATTTTAGATAGAGAGAAGGATAAAAATATTTGAAACTAAATTATTAATCTTTGGGCCATTATCTCAAAGAATGCATTTCTTCCATAATGTCATAAAGCTGCCTAACATGGCCTTCCATTTTAAATAATTCATTCAGCTGGAGATACTTATTAAAAAATACAAGGCACAAATGTTTGCACAGCCATTTAACAACAGTTCATAAATGTTACATAGAAGACTGAGCAGCAAAATAGTACAGTTCTCCAGAAAACAACAGGCTGTAGATATAACCATCATGGTATATGTAAAGAATGTATTTTGGGGGGCATGGATATATAAAAATCTGACTTTGCAAATATATAGCTAACACTGATGTGCATCACAAAATGTATTAATTATTTCAGACTAAACACCAAAGAGCTACAATTATAATAAAAATGCATTCAAACACCAAAAGCAAATTAAAGACTTAGCTGCCAAGCTTCAGCTAGGAGAGTAGAACTCACCTGGGTTTTGTTTGTTTTTAAACCTACATGACTAGACAATTTGGGTAACTACACAAAACTTGCTATACAGAAGAGTTAATGGTGTTTTAAAAACCACATAACCCTAAAAAGACTTCAATCTTAAAGAATTCTACCCACAGAAAGTTTTACCAAAAATAATCATAACTTGAGGCCAACAAAGGGGGGGGGGACCTCCATATATTTTTGGTGATTTAAACTTTTTAAAGTAACTCATGTACTGGCTCTATCTTCCTGAGTACTTTGAATTATCCAAGCGTGTTCAGTAAGCATAAATACATCTTCAGTATCTTACCTGCCAAGAGAGGTGTGTTTTTTTTCCTTAACAAGTAGTAGAAGCCAAGGCAATCCTGTGGGCAACCAATTAAAACCAACTTTTAGACTGAAATAAAGAATAAATGGAGGCAAAAATCAATGCAAGCAACACATAACTAAAAGTTAGCAGTCCACAATGTGCTGTGTATTATGACAGCCTGGGACAATGTCCATCATAAGGCACTCCAATACATGGGAACCACAAGTTTGAGAGTGCATGAAATATACATTCCTTGGTCTTTTCCACAGCTTCACACATTTTGATAGCAACATTTACTTTTATTTTAAAACAAAAAATATTCAACATGAGAATGAATACAAACAAAAAGCCAGAACACATTCATTAAAGAAATTAACTTTGCATTCTCTCTTCAGATAGCTGATTTGTCTCATTTCATAAAGAGGGCTAGTTTATTTTTCCTGATCAAGAAAACTAGAATAGTTTTCTAATGCTACAACTTCTCACCCAATTAAGAAGTACTTTAAATAAACCAAAACACAACATCCTTTCAAAGTCATTTCACATTTGCTGAAGCCAAATCAGACTGCAAATACCTTACAATACACTTCCTCCTATTTCTTTAACCTTGCTTATTTTAGAGCTGCGGAATCAAAATACAATCCAACATAAATTGCAAACAGGACAATCTTCTTCTCAAAGCACAGGACCAAACAGTATTTCACAATCGTTGTGTCCAACGTTCAGCAAGTTTATATACACTAGTACTTAAACACACACAACCCTAATGTAATCTGGAAATCCTGATCTGCAGATCCTGAAAATATTTTCCATTTAAAGAAAGGAAACAAAAACGAATACTGAATTCCACACATCTCATGAATGGTTTGACAGGCAGTTCTATGAACAGGTGATATCTGTAATTATGCCTTATTTAAAGAAAACCGTATATTTGCTGACCACAGGAAATAACAATTAATCGAAACAAAGACTTTCAAGGAACAAATCAACATCAGCACCACAAAACTTAAACAGTGTGAATTCCCGCATAAAATCTGAAGTAAAACACCTGTCTGAACAGCAAAACCCAAGAACTCATTCACTAGGTAAAGGTAAAGGTACCCCTGCCTGTACGGGCCAGTCTTGACAGACTCTAGGGTTGTGCGCCCATCTCACTCAAAACTCATTCACTACCTGACCTTATAAACTATTTACAATTCAAGATTAGGACATACGTTAATTCATGTGAGAATTATTCAGCACCAGCCAAACTTCAGCATCTGAAATCTTTCAATTATCCTGATGACAATTTTTTGTACAATTCGAGAGATCACCATTTTTCATTTCTAAATAGCTTAATAATGTTCCACATGGTTATTTCACTGCAAAATATAAATGCTAAGAGATATTTTTCTCCAACCAGTTCCCAGTGCACATTTCTATTCAACAAAAGGGTCTGCCATCATGCTCAGTTTTTCCCATAACTATTTTCTGTGGTTTATGCCGCATGCATAATTCCAAGCAAGCATGTTCAGAAATCAAAAACCATTTCAAAAAAAGCATACTAACAGATCTGCTGAGATATTCTGTCATATTAATTTATCCCTGGTCTTAATGACTCCTTCATGCCCAATGAATACTCTGTTGCCCTTGAGTTCCGAAATATACACCAAAATCCTATAGAACCTATGATAAGCTTCTTTTTTATTCATGAGGTAAGCAGAACATTCCTAAGTACATAGTAACTTTCCAACACCAAGCATTTTCTTGGAGCTTTGTTTCAAACAAACAGTATTAAAAATGTAGGATTACTATGCTTATCAATAGCTGGGGAAGGGGAAGGGGAAGTGTGCTGGAATAAAGGGATTCACAACTGAAGACTCAAAGTCAACACAAAACTAAAGCCAGTATTTCCTAATAATCAAAATACATAAGAACAAATACTTTTTTTAAAATGAAAAGCCTTTTTTATAGCATCTTAACAGTTTGTACCTATATGTGAGTTTAGCTGTTCTATTGTCAATTGACAAATTTAATTCCTATCACCTTCCTTTATCTTTGGCTAATAATCATCAATTACTTTACCTATTTACAACAGCCCTATTGTTTAAAAAGCAAATATCCTTCCAGTTATGTCCCTCAGAGGAAATAAAGAAACTAGGAAAATACAGCAAGCAATGAAGCTCTCTTTTATGAAGTCAAATTTCGGAACGACAAATTAATTTTGTATACAAATGATGTCCTTATCGCTCTATAACATATGAATTTGTTATATAACCTGATGAGCACGCCCATGTCAGTGAAGATATGAAACAGATCCACCCCAGGAGTCCTAAAGAACAACCATAAACTCTGAAGTCATCCTCCAGAACCAAATCTTTCTTAAAGCCTTTTTAGCCAACTTAAAACAGCGACACCGGGTTTCACACGTAAGGTATCATTTCATGCCGCGAATTTAAATTTTTGTTAACCACGAAGGGCCCAGAAATTTCACAGAGCGCAGTTAACCAAAATAACAACCAGTGGTGTGTGTACCTGGAGACCACCCCACCAAAACAAAACCTTGAAAACAGGACGCTAGATCTCAAATCGAAAGCTATCGAAAATTCATCACGGCGTTGTTCACACTGAGTCCAGTACCACTTCGAATCTGCACAAGGACGAGTCTTTATTTGACTTGGACGCCAGAGAATCCGGTGTACTGCGGCAGCTTTTGGTCGATGCAAAAAAAAATAAGGAAAAAAAATCCCCGCAGCTCAGGCCATTTTGTTTTACACTACCGAGTTCGCTTCCATTCGCCCCCGTCATCCCCTACAATGGGAGCGCCTGCACCGCCCTAAGACCCGGCCCCGGGGATGCTCCCAGGGAAGCCCGGCTTAGTTAGGCCACTTATGAAGGGAGCCGCCGATACTCACCTACCCCCAAAAGAAACGGGGGTCACAAACCCACGGGGCGAATAGGCGGCTGTTCCACTACCCCGAACCAGCACCGTCGCTCAGGCGCAGCCAAGCAACCCTGCGCACCAGGCCCAAAATGCCTTAGCGACGCTAAATGCCTGTCCAACCTACAGACCCCACGCGAGAGTTACAGGCCAAGGCCTTGAGGAGCCAACGAGGCTCCGGAGCGCGGCCCTCACCCCCCGCTCCCTTCAGGCCTCTTTCCCGCCCTCCCGCCCTTTGTGCAAGCTGAGGTGGGAGGGGAACACGCTCCCCCTCGCAGCCGAGCCGGACAAGCCCGGCTTTCCCCACCTATTATGATTCCCCGGCGAGCCGGAGGCGCCGCCAGGGAAGTGCTAAGTTCTTACCGAGGGGCCTGTACGGGAAAAAAGTGGGTTAGAAAGGAAACTAACTCGCCACTCAGGCCCCGCTCCCCGCGCTGAGCCCCAGCGCCAGCGACCGAGCAGCGCCACAAAATGGCCGCCCGCCTGCACCGCCTCCGGGCCGTCTGCGGCGAGGAGAGGAGGGTGTGGCCTGCGGTAGGCGGCGCCGCGAGAGCGTGTGTGGCAAAGGCAAGCGGAGCGAGCGAGGGGGGTCTTCCCTGGTGAGGGAAAAGCGCGGGCGCATCTTCGAGGTGGCCTCCTGTGGTACCTTCGCAGTCTTCGCACGTCTGGTGCGGCGAAAGCTTTCAAAGCCACTCCGCCAAAGACAACAGAAACGTTATCAGCAGTAGCCGAAAGGGGGTGGGGAAAGTTTTGTAAACATTAGGACCGACCTGCCATGAAATAGGTGCATGCTTATTCGGCAGTAAGTTCTGCTGAGTTCACAGGGGTTACTTACTATGGTGTTCAGAATCGCAGCCCCATTCACTTATAGCTGCAAGGAAGGTGCTAATGTCAAGTCATTTCTCTTCCTGCTTCTGTTTATCTTCTTCTGCTCATGGTAGAAGATAGTCTCGGAAGAGCAGCTGGGTCATACGTTTCTGCTAACCCGATATTTCTGTTTACCAAGATAGTCCTTTCCCCCCTGTTATCCCCTGTAAATCACTTTATTTGTGTTGCCTTAAGGGGAGAGTTGAGTTACCTTTTCTTTTCCTAAGAAGAACTGTGGTGAATTATGGAACAATTCTTTTCTATGCATGTTTAACTAAAATATAGTTATAAACTATATTTAACTGATGAGTGCAACATTTCCAGGTTGCCTGGGTGGGTCGCTTGCTGTTTTTCAATATATCTCTGTTCAGCGTTCATATTAGTAGTAGCAATGGGCAGCAGTGTTTTCCACTAGGTACCTCTTGATAGGACTGTTGTTGTTTAGTTGATTAGTCATGTCCGACTCTTCGTGACCCCATGGACCAGAGCACGCCAGGCACTCCTGTCTTCCACTGCCCAGTGGCGTAGCGTGGGGGGTGCCGGGGGTGCCGGCCGCACCGGGCGCAACATCTGGGGTTAGGGCAAATCCACAGGTTAGGGGGCGCAAATCCACAGGTTAGGGGGCGCAAATCCACGGGTTAGGGGGCACAAATTAATTGCCTTGTCCCGGGTGCTGACAACCCACGCTACGCCGCTGCCACTGCCTCCCGGAGTTTCGTCAAATTCATGTTTGTAGCTTCTATAACACTGTCCAACCATCTTGTCCTCTGTCGTCCTCTTCTCCTTGTGCCCTCAATCTTACCCAACATCAGAGTTTTTTCCAGAGAGTCTTCTCTTCTCATGAGGTGGCCAAAGTATTGGAGCCTCAGCTTCACAATCTGTCCTTCCAGTGAGCACTCAGGGCTGATTTGCTTCAGAATGGATAGGTTTGATCTTTTTGCAGTCCATGGGACTCTCAAGAGTCTCCTCCAGCACAATTCAAAAGCATCAATTCTTTGGCGATCAGCCTTCTTTGTGGTCCAGCTCTCACTTCCATACATCACTACTGGGAAAACCATAGCTTTCACTATATAGATCTTTGTCGGCAAGAAAGTGGCAAGAACAAATTGAGAGGATCTTCAAAAAGGATCTCTCCAAACTCTCCACAATAGCAAATATATTGCAATATACACAAGTGCAAAGTGATGCACATTCAGACAAAAATTCCTATCATCTCATATATGCTTATGAGAACTACTTGCTCAGTAAATCAGTGCATATATTTTCCATCCCAATGAACAAGAATTCACAACTCAAACAAGTAAAAGCTGCTTTTATCTCTTTATTAATAGAAGAGTGCCACATTACTAAGTTAAACATAGAAAAGCATTTTTGTGCCAATTTTAACTCAGTATTTTGTTTTTAACACATTATCTTTTCTCTGTCTGCCTGTAATATGTCCTTTCTCTTTCACTGTACTTATATTGCACAGAATTCCTCTAAAACAACAAAAATAAATGTCTGAAAAAGTCTATGTGTACAGTGTAAGAAACAGTGTACAGTGTAAGAAGTGTTCCAAAGCTGTTTGGTTTTTTTGTTTTTTTTTAATTACCTGGGGGGCGGGCGGGGAATTAATGGCTTGCCCACAAAATTAAATTGAATTTTGGAGACTTCCGGGTTGGCGCGATCCGGGAATGGCGGATTCCCTCCGAGCTCCGGAGGGAATCGGCTCAGCGGTGGATGGGTCTTTGCCGTGCCGGCGACACGGGGACCCTTAAAAACCGCAGGTGCAGATGCCTGCGGACTGAAGACTCGGCGGGTGCCTTAAGCGCCCCCCCTGATTCGCGAAGAGCCTTTTTAAAGGCTATGGAGGGGATACGGGGGAACGGCGCGGCACTGAGAGTCAATCGCTACCGCCGCTGAGCGAAGCCGCGAGCCATAACTGGAGAGCGCTGACTTCCTTCCTTAAAATTTGGACTGGAAAAAAAGAACCCGTGAGTAATTTGGAACTGAACTTTAAAATTTTTTTACCTTCTGAATTCGAGACGACCGGGGGGTGTGCCAAAAGGAAGTCCCCACCCCCCCTTGCAGACGATCCAGAGCAACGATATAAGAGCTAAGCTGGAGTGCCTACCCTGCAAAGGGTGAGTTTTAAAAAGACAGTAACTTCCAAGATTTGGAAAAGCAAATTTGAGCAGGAGAGTGGTGTGTTGGAAGAGTCTTTGTTTTGTGGTGAACAACCCTCCCTCCCGGGCCCGGGAGTGACCTGCTTTGGAGCCTGTATAGAGGAGCAGAATTTGACAGCTGTCAAAGCTGTCAAATGGACTGTTAACAGTGGAAAAATTGCTATTTAAGACCTCTCCGGTTTAAAAGGAGTTACAATTGAATTAAAATTGTGGGAAACAAAGAAACAATAACAGGACAGAGGATTGTTGGAGAAAAGTTCATTAAGTAACTAGATTCCCTCTAGGGGGAATTCTGTGGAATTACAATGGCTGTGGGTGGAAAGATACTGAGAGAAATCGAAAGGATGTTTTCACTGGTGGGAACCTTACAGGAGCAGACTATAGTTATGAGTAAACAATTGATGACCTTGAATTCGGAAACAAGTAGCTCTGCTGAATGTAATGAAGACCTGAGTGAGAAAGAACCCACAGCTGAACTCGAAATAATAAACAAAGAAGAGGAGAAGACAAAACATGAAAGAGAACAAGTTATGTCGGAAAATACTAACCAGAAGTCGGCATTTGGAGAACACAAGCAAGGAGACTATTGGATTAACTCCATTTTAAGCCTACGAAAGATACAGAAGACGAAAGAGGAAGCCCTGGAAGTTTATGGAATTCAGGAGCTTGAAATAAAGAAGTACAATTGGGGCATCCACATAGACTTTGACTTTGACTATCATCAAGACTTAGGCCTTGCAGAAATGCCTCAGCAGTTGTTTCTAAATATGGGAAGAGACTATGGATTGATTGGATTGATTGTTAAGGAAATCTTTCGAGACTCGATGACCAACAAAAAGGACTACCAACAAAATCGGCGGAGAGGGACTGAAAGAGAGTTGAGAGCTTTGGATGTGCGGAATCCAGGCTAAAAAATGTTATTTTGGACATGTCTTGGGAAAGGACGCAAAGCGGGAAAGGGAGGGAGGGAAGCATTTAAATTTAAACAACACTCAAGACCAGGGGGTTTAGTTAATAAGAAAATTATTTAAGAAAAAATGAGAAATCGTGGGAAGAGAATTGGGGTCCAACTTAGGGAAAATTTATTTTTGTTTTTATAAAAGGATTAATATCAAGACGGAGAAGGAAATGCCAATTTGCTGACATAAACTTGGGAATAGGGATGCAAGGGAGGGGGGTGGGGGGAAGTCAAGGACTAGGGTTAGAAAATAAGATTTTCGGGAACTATACATGTTTGTTGTTTTTTATGTTTGTTTTGATGTTATGTGTTGTGTCTTTATCTATATAAAATGTGAAAACCCAATAAAAATATTTAAAAAAAAAAAAACAAAATTAAATTGAATTTTGTGATATGGTAATAAAACTGTCATCATTGCAGTATCAATGCTTCTTCCATTTTAAACCATGCTTTTGAAAACTTCTGTAACGATTTTGCAAATTAAGAACTCTCCTACATGAAGCAGTTTTGCCAGAACAGGTTTACAATAAACATTATCTAAAGGAAGCTGATACAATTTCAATGGGAGTATATGCGTTGTGTGTATAGGACTTGTAGTTAAGGCAAGTGATAGGATACTTCGTTGATTGCGTGCTAACAGTCCACTGCCTAGGGTCAGCAGCCATTTCCTTCAAAATGGTGTGCACACAAAGCTGCATAACACAAGCGTTCATTTATTATAGACAGTTAATTTCCTTCCTGCATTTATTTGAGAAAGCAGTAAAAAACCCAAAAACTTCCCTTAAATAGATTTTTTCTTTCCACTAGAAAAAGTAATACCAGTAAAAAATAATAATAATCCGATACAAATGAGGGCACACATTTCTGAGTACCAAAAATACTAGCCTCACCAGTTTAACTTAATCTAGCACTGTCAGGCACCCTGAAGTGAAAGGCAATGACATTGTTTTATTTTTTTAAGTGATGATCAACCTGGGATATTTCTATAACTGGGATATTTCTAGACAGACACAATCTCATTCTCAAAACCATAGCTTCTTATCAGCAAAAACCAAAATATGTTGCTCTACAGGAAAAACATTACATTGAAATCTTCCATCGTCACTCAAAAATAAATCAATAAATAGCTCAGAAAAAATTATTCTGGAAAGCAGGAGAAAAAAATTGTGGTAACAAATCAAGGGTAAAGGTAAGGAAAAGGTGAATTTGTGAAAAAGTGAATGTGATCTGCATTTGGGAGCTAGTAAACCTTAGGCACAGTTGAATTCATTGCTATGTAGCAAATGCCACTGCTCAAATATAAAACATGGACTTTTTAGATGGAAGACTGCCTTCTGTAAGAGGATTACTTCTGACCATACTGTCTGTTTGAACACAAGTTTTGCAATAAGACAGATGTTGCTGAAACAGATGCAAATTATTCTAGGGAGAACCTACAGTAGAAACAAGCTACTTTTTAATTACTTTTACAATAAGACAGCTGAAGATTTGGCATATCAAGCTGCACCAATGTCACCTCCAAAATAAAAGTACTGCAACTTCTTTGGTTCCAGGAAACTAATGTCCATTTGTATTTGATGATTTGTAAGCACAATTGTTTACCTGAACAAACATCGCCTTAGATTTAGTTTTCAGGCTCTAGATTTAGAAAGCGTAACTGATTACCCAAAGATTTTGTATTTTTAAAACAAGCACAACATGGTTTTACTCAGGAATGTAGAGAAAATATTACTTTAATCTATATCCAAGCAGTCCAAGATAACAAGTGATTTCCTTGCTTAATGTTGTGTCCATTTAATGCTCTTCAAATCAACTCCATCCTGTACCATTTCCCACAGTGGGCTGTAAAATGAGAAGGAAAATTCAATGACAGTCAGAAATACAAATAATTTGGCATCAATAGAACTTTCAGGCAATAATTAGTAAGAACAAAATATTATTTTAAACGAAGTTCTGCAAAGAACACTTTCTAACTACATAAAGAAATTATGTCTAAGAATGCCTCCTATCTTCCGAAATACCCAATTAAGATGTTTTGTTATGGCAAAATTTCACCAAGGTTGAATGCCTCAACCCACGATGGGTATTATATTGAGACACTAGTCATGGAAATAAAGAGATTTATTTATGAATTTCCGCCCTTCTAAATGCATATTTACCCTGGCCTTTGACAACTGAGAAATATATATATTAGGACCCACCTGATTCTGTGACTTAAATAATGGGACTGCATGCATATTTGGGCTTTATAAGGATTGTGCCAGTTTGCTGTAAATATCTGGTTGGACCACAGCTACAGAGATAACAAATAGTATATTCCTTCCTCTATCTTGATCTGCTCTAACCACTGAGATTCTGTGACTTCTGGCAGTATTTCCTTACTACAGACAGACTTTTAAAGAAATCCTGTGATGCTTAATGTCTAATATTCAGATTTATTTATTTTTTACCTCATCTCCCTTAATCTCTTCACATGCTGTATGCATTTTTTTACGGTATAATCTATCTCTTCTTCAGTAGTGAAACGGCCAATGCCAAACCTGAAATGAAGGAAAGAGCTTATCAGATGCAACATAGCACACATAAAAAGATAAAAAGGGATTCTTCTCTTGATGGATGTAATATAATTGAATGTGACTATCTAGAACAGGAATAGGCAAACTCGGCCCTCCAGATGTTTTGGGACTACAACTCCCATCATCCCTAGCTAACAGGGCCAGTGGTCAGGGATGATGGGAGTTGTAGTCCCAAAACATCTGGAGGGCCGAGTTTGCCTATGCTTAATTTAGAACTATAAGCCTTGCCTTATGGATGAGTGAGCCAAGTCTTCATCAGTTCCAATTGCACGCAACACATATGATGGTTCCAGAGATGCAGATGTGCAAGCACTAATGAGAAAAAACAATATGTTGGCATTTTGTCCTTACACAGAACTGGTATAGAAATCAAAATAGCAGACAGCTCTAGAGTAGTATGCTCTTATTATAACTCTATTGCTGCCCCCCTAAAGATTTACTGACTACAGAAACAAACCAAGAAGACTAATTATGCAAGAGAAGGGTGTGTAATTGCATAATTAATAGAAGGTAAGGCATTTCAACTGCAGAAGCAGAAAATAAGGCAGAGTACAGCAACAGATTGATGTCAGAAAAAGAAGTGTGAGGTAGGGGGAAAGATCAGACAGGGTGGGTAATATATTAAAAAGTGTGTTATGTGATCAGGAAAATAAAAATGCCCAAAGTTGTTCTTATAACTTAGGGGGACTAAAGTACTGGAAGGAAAGGGCAAAAAGATATTAGCAGCAGGAATTAACCATCTAGTAGATCCAGTTATAACTAATAAAGCTTGGTTAAATTATGTAATTTGACATTTGCCAATTGAATTTTAAAAGGAATCAGAAATATCTGAAAGGAGTCAGAAATGCTAATAGGACACTCCTTATAAATGCAAGTAAATCAGCCCTGGTCAGAATAAAGAAAGATTCTGGATTAGATGGCTCATAGATTTGCTCTAGATCATCAATTCTAGTGACTTGAAGTGGAAAAAGGCCACTTTTATTCTGCTCTCCTTTAAATATCTGGCATGGGAGTTCCAGGCAATATCTCATCTGCACACTGACCAGACTAAGACTTGCATAGCTTTAACAATAGACCGCATAATGTGTCCTTAGACCATATTTCAGGCTCTCTCTTCTCTCTCACATATGTAAGACTTATAGAAGTCAGTTGGCCCATAACCTGTTATACCTGGGTCCACCATCTGTTGTTGATACTACAACACACTTTGACCAGTGTTATCAGCAGAGTATGCACAGCTCCAGCAGAGTCTGCTAGCACAACATCAGAGTTTTCCTGCTTTTTAGTAGTCAGCCTTTTTTCACAGTTCCCCTATCCCATTCAGTTCAGTTCAAAGTATGTAGTGTCTATTGTCTCATGGCACAAGACAAGCATAAATACACTAGCTACATTAACTTTAAGAGATGCTGGTACATCATAAACTAATCTACTATAATAGAGTTCTCTAGTCCCAGAAACAAACCTTGTAGTGATCACTTGTCTTTTACCATGCTAGCTCACCATACTATACGGAACCATATAGCATGTAACATCCACCAAGATGATAAAACCTCACACTTGGCAAATACCTCACACCAATGCCAATGCTGCTGAATTCAACCTTGGGTTTATACCTGCCTCTGCATGTACACACATTCCTTAGAAAAAGGGAGGATGAATGAGTCATGTTTTAAGTATTTAGTCTTCAACTGTTTCTAACCACCCCGTGTAGCTGAGTCTTTCTCTAAACAGAATCCAGAGATGAGGGATGGACTCCTGAAGAAGAAGAAGAAGAAGAAGAAGAAGAAGAAGAAGAAGAAGAAGAAGAAAAGAAGGAGAAGAAGAAGAAGAAGAAAAGAAGGAGGAGGAGAAGAAGAAGAAGAAGAAGAAGGAGGAGGAGGAGGAGGAGGAGGAGGAGGAGGAGAAGAAGAAGAAGAAGAAGAAGAAGAAGAGGTGTTTGGACTTGATATCCCGCCTTTCACTCCCCTTAAGGAGTCTCAAAGTGGCTAACGTTCTCCTTTCCCTTCCTCCCCCACAACAAACACTCTGTGAGGTGAGTGGGGCTGAGAGACTTCAGAGAAGTGTGACTGGCCCAAGGTCACCCAGCAGCTGCATGTGGAGGAGCGGGGAATCAAACCCGGTTCACCAGATTATGAGTCCACTGCTCTTAACCACTATACCATGTTGGCTCAAGACACGGTCCAAGTGCTTAGTGCAATTTCACCCATTCTTTCCAATTTACACCAACAATATTACCTTCCAGAAGACAGAGCCACATCTTTAAGCGCCATCAGCAGGCTTTCTCCTTCCACATATGCAAAGGATAAGTTAATGCAGCCTGCAAAGTTAACAAAGCAGTGTCAGCTTCTTTTAAGATTGCACTTTAGACAACAGGGTTTTTGCAGAATCATAGAATGATAGAATTCGAAGGGACTATGAGGGTCATCTAGTCCAACCCCCTGCAATGCAGGAATTTTTAGCCCAACATGGGGTTTGAACTCAAGACCCTGCTCTTAAATAATCTGAGTCTATTTTCCCTTAATGGAATGTTTCTTTTTCATTTCCTTTAAAATGTGAATGTCACCACAGCTCTGATCACTAGAGAGCTAAATGCTAATTCCAGAAATGCACGCAGAACAACTGCGTTGTTGGCAGAGCCATAATTTTTATTTATAAACAACCTAAAACTGGCTAATGCAGTGGAAGAAAATAGTGAGCAGCTCTTTGGACCATTACAGAATTCTTCATTCAGTCTTTAATACAGTAATTTATCCTAGTGCTCTACCTAAAACATACAATTCAGAACTAAAATGTAAAACAGTAAGAAAAGCTTGTGCATAATCTGCAACTCATTGGGATTAATTTATGCAGTAATTTAAGGTCAGTACAGAAGCAGAAGACATCTCTGAATTAGTTTAAACATCATGTCTCAGTGACTACAATCTCTACTTAATTTCATGTTGACTTCATATGCTTAACAGAGCAACAGTGAAACTATTTAGAGTCAACCTAAACTTTAGCACTGATGCTGTTATAATATTATCTCAGTTTTCATCTAGTCATGAATATATAGAACATATATATTCATATATTCATATATATATATAAACATTGTATAACAGAGGATGAGAATTTTGTGATATTCAAGCTATTTGTTGAGTTTCTGGGCTAGTACCCGATGAGCACAAGACTGCTTTCAATTCTAAAACAATACTGCTGTACCAGATTAACACTTAAATCTGTTTTAAAATTTCCAATGCTATATTCATTTTAAAAAGAAACCCTAAATGGTCAAAGGCAATTTCTGTAGTAAAGAGGAACTCAACATTCTGCTAATAATACCTGGATAACGATGAACTGGATCACCATTCATTACCACATCAGGAATTTCAGACATTATGTTTGTAACTAATCTGCCAGCTAATAAACTAATTCGCTTATGGTCATACTGAAAAAGAAACAAGAGAACTTATTAGCTATTCTTCAAACATGCAGATGTGCCTTGATTGATGTACTAAAAATGAAATCAGTTAACCAAAATGACAAGGCAAAATAACACAATATTTGTCAGAGCAATTTCTCACACAAATAATAACCATAGCAAAATTCAGCCCCAAGTTAAATATGAGAGTTACGGTTATCAAGCTGATGCTGGCTATGTGCAAGTGGAATAGACTTCCACCTGCACAATGGGACTTCACCTACCTCTCCTCTCCCTTCCATGCTCTAATACAGTGGTACCCCGCAAGACGAACGCCTCGCAAGACGGAAAACCCGCTAGACGAAAGGGTTTTCCGTTTTGGAGGCGCTTCGCAAGACGAAGTTCCCTATGGGCTTGCTTCGCAAGACGAAAGCCCAAAGGGAAATCTCCGGGACAGCGGGGAAGTGCCTCCGCTGTCGCCCGCCAGCGTTTTAAAAAGCCCCGGGACAGCGGGGGACTTCTCCGCTGTCCGGGGCGATCTTAAAATGCTGGCGGGTGGGAGCGAAGCCTCCGCTGTCGCCCGCCAGCATTTTAAAAAGCCCCGGGACAGCGGGGGACTTCTCCGCTGTTCCGGGGCAATTTAAAAGCCCCGGACCATGCCCCGATGCCGGGCAGCGGGGCCGCGAAGCCTGGGCGCGCTGATCTCGGCGCGCCCAGGCTTTGGCATGCCGGCATCTCTACGCAAGCAGCGGCAGCGCTGCCGTTGCTTGCGGAGAGGTCCGCGAAGCCTGGGCGCGCTGATCTCGGCGCGCCCAGGCTTCGGGATGCCGGCATCTCTACGCAAGCAGCGGCAGCGCTGCCGTTGCTTGCGGAGAGGTCCGCAAAGCCTGGGCGCGCTGATCTCGGCGCGCCCAGGCTTCGGGATGCCGGCATCTCTACGCAAGCAGCGGCAGCGCTGCCGTTGCTTGCGGAGAGGTCCGCGAAGCCTGGGCGCGCTGATCTCGGCGCGTCCAGGCTTCGGCATGCCGGCATCTCTACGCAAGCAGCGGCAGCGCTGCCGTTGCTTGCGGAGAGGTCCGCGAAGCCTGGGCGCGCTGATCTCGGCGCGCCCAGGCTTCGGCATGCCGGCATCTCTACGCAAGCAGCGGCAGCGCTGCCGTTGCTTGCGGAGAGGTCCGCGAAGCCTGGGAGCGCTGATCTCGGCGCGCCCAGGCTTCGGCATGCCGGCATCTCTACGCAAGCAGTGGCAGCGCTGCCGTTGCTTGCGGAGAGGTCCGCGAAGCCTGGGCAGACAGCTTTTGAAGGCAGGGGGGGAGCAAAGACTTTCACCCCCCGCCAGCCTTCAGAAGAGGTCCTGGTCCTCTTCTGAAGGCCGGCGGGGGGCAAAAGTCTTTGCTCCCCCCTGCCTGCCTTCCCGGGAGAGCGGAGAAACGCAGCGCGTTTCTCCGCTGTCCCGGAGGGCTTTTTAATGCAGGCGGGGGGGAGCAAAGACTTTCGCCCCCCCCCAGCCTTCAGAAGAGGTCGGGGGACAGACTGTCCCCGGACCTGGTCTGAAGGCGGTTTCCCTAGGAACGCATTAATGGATTTTCAATGCATTCCTATGGGAAACCGTGCATCGCAAGACGAAAAACTCGCAAGACGAAGAGACTTGCGGAACGAATTAATTTCGTCTTGCGAGGCACCACTGTACCCCCAAATATGCCCCACATTTTCAGGGTACATGGGGGGATAGAGGAAAGAAAGGATAGATTCATTCTGTCAACAGAAGTCTGCTTGCACAACATTGGATTTCACCCCCTGAGTTTGCTCTGCTATCCCACAATTGCTGCTGTGAAATTCAGAGATATGTAGCAGGAAAATTCTATATGAAATTGCCTCCATAATTGTTTGAAAATTCTATGCTCAAGAAGAAAGAGAGATGCCCTAGAAATAGAGGCAAATCTCTGTACAATTATTATAATCAATAAACACTAGTTGTTCTAGAAACTGCCTGCCCTCTCTTACCAACAGCAAGACAGAGACCAGAAAGGTTCTAACTGTAAGGTTAGAGTTTGTAAGAAATATGGCACAGAGAACTACTTAATGAATGAACATAGCACTACTAAAATATCTCAGAAATACTCAAAACCATCTCAGAAAATTGTTCTGCCAAGAAGGCCAAGTTTGCTTTGCTTATATAACTGCTTTTACATATTATAGGAAAATAAAGGCTGAATTATGGAGCACGATTAGTTCTCTACAGTACAGAGAAGGGCATCATATTAAACCCTAATCATTATTGTTAAAGGAATGTGTTGCAGACTTTCAACCATCAACAAGGCTTCAAAGAACATGCTAAAATAAATGGATCAAGAAAAGTTACACAACTAGAACTGCTCTTTATACCTCCATCTCTTGTTGTGCCAATTCGCAAGCTGCTCCAAGACCAACTGCTAAAGGAGTTGGCACAGTCCCAGAACGTAATCCTCGCTCCTGGCCTCCTCCACTTTGTATAGGTTCCAGTCTTACTCTTGGTCGCCGCCGAACATAAATTGCACCAACCCCTTAGAAACAAGAAGTTACTTCTGTTCAGTACACAGGTAGACTTTCCATACTGTATGTCTCCTAGCATATTTAGAAACATTTAGAAAAAATCCTTCAGGAACTTTTAATCAAGATTCTTCGTCGCAAGAGATGCATTTTAAACATTCAGGGCAACATCCAGTGATGTTCCGCCACGTGTGCAATGGGAATCTGGTTGCACAACAGAACTTCCAGTTTCTCATTTGAGCTTGCAGCCCCCTATGCACCCCCAAAAATCTACTCCAGAGGGTATCCAACCCTCTGGAGAAGATTTTTGGGGGATCACTGTAGGGACCTGCAGTGGGGGGAAGAGAGGAAGAAGAAGCCCTGTTACATGAACAGAACCATTCACATTTTGTTGGATCTCATCTTCAGATATTCAATTTACATTTCTAATTGGAAGAATCCTCATTTGCTAATTTCTATAAAATAAGTATCTTCTCCTAAAATTTATCAAAATCCTTGAGGTGTTCTTCAGCAGGATCTTCCTTTGTCATTATTTAACTCCAGAAAATGAAAAATAACTGTCTGGCATCCTAATCTAATATTCTGGCAGAAAGTCATGCATACTGCCACATCCATGCACACAGTCTATTACAGACTGTGCCCTTAGTGCCCTGTGCAGTAGTTTGCATGGAGGCTGCTGCATATAGATCTGTATAGTGTGAGGTATGTGGTCAGGCATAGCTTAATCCATTTGTAGATGTAGCTTGTTCCACATATAGCTGTCTCCACATCTTGGATAGCAGACTAGTGTTTAGGAACCAAGTTGTGTTCAAAGTGCTCGTATGGAAGAAGAAGAGGTGTTTGGACTTGATATCCCGCCTTTCACTCCCTTAAGGAGTCTCAAAGTGGCTAACATTCTCCTTTCCCTTCCTCCCCCACAACAAACACTCTGTGAGGTGAGTGGGGCTGAGAGACTTGAAAGAAGTGTGACTAGCCCAGCAGCTGCATGTGGAGGAGCAGGGAAGTGAACCCGGTTCACCAGACTACAAGTCTACTGCTCTTAACCACTACACCACACTGGAAGTACTTATTTTGAAGAAAGCTATTTTGAATGAAGCGCCCATCCCTGCAAGACTGTTGCAGGCTTTCCTCTGTTATTCTTGTTTCCTCCTTAAATACTATTGCAGGGATAGGGAGCCTGTGGCCCTCCATATATTTCTGGACTACAAGTCCCATCATCCTTGATCATTGGCTATAATTGCTAGGGCTGATTAGAGCTGTAGGCCAGCAACATCTGGAAGGCCACAGGTTCTCCAGCCCTGTACTAAGGTCTCTGTTTTTCATGGTGCCTTGACAAGGGTTAGCGATTTCTCCAAATGTTTATTTGACTACCAAATCAAATAAACCTGGCCACCTTTATTAGTAAAAATGAAGTAGTATCTAATATAAGAAATATCAATACCTTTGGGACCATAGATTTTATGGCCACTGATGCTCATTAAATCAATTTTCATATCATTGACATTTAGAGGAATTTTCCCAACTGCCTGTGCAGCATCTGTATGAAAGAAAATTTTATGGGAACTGCAGATCTGACCTACAATGCAAAAACAACATGGTTCAGAATGAAATATTATTTATATTTTATGAAAATGTTGAAAGATTTTAAACATACTGATTTTATCAATCAATTCAAATGTATTGCTAAAACCCAGAGGTCATCACAAAATAAATCTGGGAACAGATATAATACAAATGATGTCTGTGTTTCACTGTACTGTTAGCTTTCAACTGCTGGGAGGTGGGCATTTAGATGGGAGTGAAATGGCTCAAAATAAAAAAGGGGGGGGGAATCCTCCACGGTCCTGCTCCAAGAGTAGACACATAAACAACAACCTTGAAGTTCTTTTTTTAAAAGGTTTGGAAATCTGGTCACAGATCTCACATGTAACATCTATTTTGACCTTCACAAATTATTGATAGACATAGAAAAGCTGTCAGATATTGATTATGAGCCAGTGATTTGTTTCTAAGTCACCACAATTATGTAGCCATTCTATGCTTCAACAGTGTGTGCTTCATTGTCGAGCTTTATAAGTATTTGGCATTTTAGCTCAATATATGACATTTGTTTGTTTGTTTGATTGATTGATTGATTTAGTATTTATTTCAAATTTCATAACCAGTTTTTTGAGGAACTTCTTCCATAAAGCATCTTACAATCTTTCATAAAATCAATTCCACCCAAACTGTCAACTTACCAATGTCCTTAACTGGCTGTACTACTCCTATTTCATTATTCACAGTCATTACTGAAACCAATCCTGTGTCTGGTTGTATTGCATTTTTTAGATCCTGGTGGAAATCATAGAAGAGAATTAATTCGAACTGCATTAGCACTGCAAATGAAACTTATTTTACAATTACCCTGCACTTTTAACATATAAGCACCATTATATTCAATAGGGCATACGCCCTGTGCTAAGATGTGCACTCTAAATGGTTAGAGATATAAATCAATTTATTCTACTAGTACATAAAGTGTCCTTTCTTTGAATGCATCTGCTAAACTGATCCAATTTTGTACAATATACTAGGTAAGCAGTAAACCTCACCCTTTTGTCACTGCAACCCAACAAACATTTCACCAGTTTTTACTTAGACAGCTCTCTGTAGCATCCATATTCTAAGTGGAAGACTGCATTTTTGTTAACATTCCATTGCAAAGGACTGAAAAAGGGAGAAGCTGCAATCACATGAATACAAATTTGGAAACAAGTGATTTACCTTTAAATCTATAATCCCATTTTTCTGTACAGGCAAGTATGTGACTTGAAATCCCTCAGCTTCTAGGGCACGGCATGAATCCAGCACACACTTGTGTTCTGTTTGTGTTGTAATTATATGTTTCTTTCTGGATTTATAGAATCTTCCAACACCCTTTACACAGATAAAACGGAAAAAAATTTAGATCAAAACTGCTGGAAATCCGTAGTTTCTATAAGTATCAAGTAAAAAAATGTAAAACGCCCAGTTACCTTGAAGCTTCAGGCAATAGACAACAAATCCTAGGCACATTTACTCAGAACTAGGTCCCACCAAGTGCAGGGGGGTTTACTCCCAAAAGTGTGCATAGGATTGAAGCCCAAAATGGCACACACTTACATGGGAGTAAGCCCCACTGAACACAATGAGATTTACTTGTGAGTAAATATGCAAAGGATTGCATATGAAAAGCTATTCAAATAATCTTGGCAATTTTCAACTTTAGCTCAGTTTTTTAAGTAAGTGTCATGGTTTCGTTTTTACATATTTTCATTTTTTACATATTTTTACAACATTTTTCCTCAGTACAATTATGGGAAATAGCTACAAAGCAAAACTGTAGCCACAGAAACCTTACAAACTGCAGTGCAGAGAAGAATCTTGAAGAGACCTGTCGGTTAGTTTTGGTAATGCAACTCTCTCTTTGCATAACTGTTTTAAGTACAAAGCAGGCAGAATTAGGTTTGGTTATACAATAGGCCTCTTAACATCAATAAACATTAGTGCAATCTACTTTAAGGAAGGCAGAAGTTTAATTCAACTACCAGTACTTCTTACATGCATGTCTACACAGAAGGAAGTCCCACTGTGTTCAATAGGGCTTACCTCCTAATAAGTGTGTTCAAGACTACAGCCTGAGGCTCTTATGCACACTTACCCAAAGAAGTCCCACGGAATTCAGTAGGACTTACTTTTGAGTAGACGTGCATAGGAGTGTGCTGTGAACCTGGTTAAGTTTACACCAAGTTGTTTTAGGAACTTACAGTATATCGCTATACGATCTCAACCAAGTTACAATTACAATACATTTATATCAGAAACAACAAAGTATCTCTAGATATTTAACATGACTCAGTATGCTCATCCTGCAAATGCAAAAACAATAACATTATCCAAATAACTTTATGTAGAGAATTGTGACTTCCACAGACTTTAAAAAAAACTGCACACAAGGTAATAAGTTTAGCACTTTTTAAGACTTGCCAATACTTTTATTTATTCTCAGGTAAAGCCAAAAAATATACACAGGATTGCACTGTTAGTTGCTGCAATTGTATTAAGCTTCTGCCTTAATTATAACACAAGATAGGACAGTAATACTTGAACATCCAGACTACTGTGAATTGTTTTTACATCACCATCACTTGGCATTACAATATACTCATTTACCTTAATTGCTATGTTGTTTGATTCTGTTGCCCCACTGGTAAAAATAATTTCTCTAGGATCTGCTCCTATTAACGATGCAACTTGCTGTTTAAAAAAAGACAGAACACAATAATATAATGTTACTACTTTGAGGCAGAAAACCACATTCACCAGACAATTTTTGTAGCATCTTTCAAAACCCAAATGCTTCATAAGTCAGCAAAGGCAGATTTAGAATTAAACTGCATTTTTATGCCCACAGGTGGTGGTGCAGCCACTTCTTTATATTAAAAGCAAAACAAAACTTGGTCCAGTAGCATTTGCCACCTACTGCCTGGTCACTAGTACCCTCTTTTAGAGGGAAGGTAGCAGCAGCACATATACAGGCATTCTTGGAGGACAGATTACCTTAACCCACTAACCCACTGCAATCTTGATTCAGGTCTGATTTCATGGCTGAATCGCCTCGGTTGCTGATGGGTTGTCTTTATCAAAAAAGGGACAGGGGAGTGTGACCCTGTTGCTATTACTTGATCTCCCAGAGGCTTTTGATGCCATTAACAATAGTAACCTCCTGGGATGAGTGTTGGAGGCACTGTGTTGCAGTGGTTTTGCTCCTATCTCCAGGGCTGATTTCAAAGCGTAGCACCGCATGGGAGTTTTGTTGGCCCCCCGCAAAGTGTGCTATGGGGTGCCACAGGAAACCGTCCTGACCCCAAGGCTGTTTAACATCTGTATGAAGCTGTTAGGTGTCGTTGTTAGGAGATTTGGAGTAAGGTGTTACCAGTATGCTGATGACACCCTGCTCTATCTATTTCTCTCTGAAATCTAAATCAGATGAGGCTATGCAAGTATTAAACATGCTTGGATGAAGTTGTGGGATGGATGATAACCAATAAACTGAAAATGAATCCTGACAAGATGGAAGCTCTGTGGGTAACTGGTACCTAAGTCCAGAAGGCAGCTCAGTTGCCTATTCTGGGTTGGACTGCATTCTTCCTGAACAATCAGGTATGTAGCTTAGGTGTACTGCTGACTCCAACTTTGTCACTATAGGCCCAAGTAGTCTTGGGCTCAGAGGACCTTCTTTCAGCTTTCTATCAGTTTTGGCTGCACAAGGATAGCTTGGCCACAGTGGTCCATATATTTATCCTCTCAAGGTTGAATTACTAGAATGTGCTCTACGTGAAGCTGCCCTTGAGGTTTGTCTGGAAGCTGCAACTGGCACTGAATGCCAGGCTTTTTCAGGATAGCACTACTGGCTATTGTTCATGTTGGTTTTACATTGGGTTTAATGTACTCTTAACTGTTTTATGTTTGTATCTATCTTTTCTTTATTTTGTATACTGTCTTGCCAAAAGCAGGGTGATTCTTTTAAAATAAGATTCAGAAGCAATACAAAATACACAGGTGAGTGAGAAGATTAAAGATTTTATTCTAAAACAGCAAGCAATGTATACAAAGCAAGCACTTCAATTTGCTACTTGGAAGCCCACAAGAAGTGGCAAAGCAACTCCCCCAGGTAGTCTCAGTTTGCACGGCCCTGCAGCCAATCAGTCTGTGCATGAGCTTCAAAGAAACTCTGCCCAAACCGCCTGATTTTATAGATAGCCTTGTGCCTTCCTAGACTGGCTACCTGCAGATAATCCATTAGCTGCCCCCTCCCTCCCTCCCAATGTCTCACTTTCTCAAAACAATGTCCAATAGCAAAGAAGGTACCCGGCATTATCCTCCACAACTGATTAAGGCAGCTGGGGGGGGGCATCACCTTCTCGTTCTCAGGACATTAAAGACTGTTCTCACACCAGCAAAAAAAATTAACAACAGCGAGGGAAGGGGAAGGAACAGAGGCAGGAAGGGTAACCATGTCAGATCACTAACTCCTCGATACAATTTGTCTTCTGGATGAAATTCCCATACATATACTGCCATGAGATTTGACTGATAAGCAGTTCTTAAACAAATTATAAGAAAAATGCAGAAATCTCACCTGTCTAGCTTTTTCCATAGCAGATTCACTCTCCCAACCATAAGCATGAGTTCTTGAGTGTGGGTTACCATAAAAATGCACAAGATAGGGAAGCATGGTATCCAAAACCCTAGGGTCCTAGAACAAAATATTAATAATTATTCTATTTCATTTCATCATTAAAAATAAATAAATCTGTATCGAAGAGTTTTCCCCTACACACCCAAATGCTTGGAACACACCCAGACCTGTTATTAAGGCTACAGTCTTCTTTCTGTTTGTGTACACAAGACAGTACGGCCAGTATGGCAGCAGTCTTTATTTCACAGTAAATAGGATTAAAATGTGATTAAGAACAGGCTGTAAATGTTCAGCCATGTTCTCTTACTACTAGATCCAATGAGAAGTATCTGACTCAGTCAGACTCTAGGAATTATCATTTCTACAGTTCTAGCCTGAGGACATCTTAGTCAGATATCACATTGTATTATTCTCTCACCTATCAAACATCTCAGGGTAGACAGGAAACTTGGGCTGTGATCCTATGCACTTACCTAGCAGTAAGCCCCCACTGAACATAGTAGGATTTACCTCTGAGTAAATAGTGCAGGACTACTCTGTAAACAATGTGTTTGTTTAAACAAATGCTCCTCAAAAGAGTACAGTACTTAGTTCACAAACCAGAGGAGTTGTTGCTTGGACATCCATGTACAATGGTCGAAGTGAAGTTTCATCAGCACTGCCTATGCCTAGGGAAAGACAACTATATGAGTGACAAATGCAAATTTGCAGAAGATATCATTTCTACTACGGGGTGGAGGACTTATTCCAGTATGTAGTATAATATGAAGATTCATTAATGCACAAGCAATTCAGACAGGTGGTTAAAACATATTTTTCAAAAATACTTCCACTTTAAGTTCAGCTTCAGAAGCTGATACACAGGACTATACTGTTCAGGCAGCTATAACAAAGCATTTCAACCAGAATGTGGCATTTTAAGTTTGAAACTGAACCACCAGCAGAAATCAACTGAACTGAGCTCACACAATAGTGAACTGTTCAAAGAGCAAGATTATCTCCATAGCTTAGCTATATGTAACATATTATAAATTTTCAGATTCATAATGTTTGGTTCCTCTTACGATTGCTGAGAAAAGGTTTCTAACCAGTGATGTACTGAAGCAGGAACATGGGAGACAACAGCTTCAGTAGTTATTCATACCTGGAGCAATGGCATCTGATTGGGCAGTATTTGCCAGCACTGCAAGCTTGGAAGTTGGATCTGGTCTGGCACATGATACTTTTATTAGGTAGGCTAGGCTCGGACAGTAACTGGCCCAAGGTCACCCAGTGAACTTCATGGCTGATGGAAGATGTGAACCCAAGTCCCTCCCAATCCAACATGGATTTATCAGGTCACTATTCTAAAAATGGGCATTATGCAATGTATTGCTGATCAACAAAGAAGCCTACTCCCCACCCTTTAACTGTTCTTAGGAATGTAACCATGTGAGCTGCCGCGATGAGTTCCTGCCCTTCCAACATTACTAACTACGCCACTTTTGCAAACCCAAGGTTGGGCCTGTAACTTTCAAAGGGCTGTAATCCCACCCCCGTCATCTCAACGATCCCTTGGGCTGCGACAGTAGGACTCAATCGCAATGCCGTTTGCTGCAGCTGACGGGAGAGAAAGTTGGACGGACCACCACAACACCGGGGGGCGTAGCTATTTATTGACACGTTCTCTTTCTGCGTTTGAGCTCTTCGCATCGTGCCGTGGGGCTAGTAGTAGCGTCGCTGCGGCGGCTCTACCCCGTCCGATCATACGGCTCTACGGCCCCGATCCTCTACTACTTTCACATTCAGCCAAGGTTGCTTCCAAATGACAGCAAACCCACTTCAGAGAGTAAGCCCTCAACAGGAAAAAAATGAAATACTGAGCAAGCTGCCTTAGGGAAGAAGGGACCAGGCGACTCTCACTCGTGTTTGGGTTTTTTCCCCCTGCGCGAGCTTCCCAAGCCCGCAGCAGCGGAAAACATAACATTGCCCAGGAGGCAGATGCCATCGCAGCCGCGGAAGGGAGCCGCCTACCAGCTGCTTCTGCTGAAACTCGCGATCCGCCGGGCGTCCCGCCAGGCTCGCTCGCCCTTCTGGCGGGATTGCAAAGGACAGAGCGCCGTTACCTTGCTGCTGCGGAACTCCTGAAAGCCGCCTCCTTTGGCCGGCTAGCAGTCCTCTCAGAGCCCGCCATGTCGCCGGCCGCACCGCCATCATCGTCACTCCGCCTCCCGTCCTTCGCCCAGCCGACAGGCACCCACAACAACGACGCTCGCCTCTTCGCCTCCCCCCGGGAGAGCCGTTTCCTGCGACGTAATCGGAGTGCGACGGAAGCGCAGGCCGCGCTGAGGGAAACTCGGGTGGAACGAAGCGCCGAGTGGTCGAGGTGAGGGGGGACGAGGGAAGAAGCAGGGCAAAGGCTGTTTGCGGGCGGGCCCAGAAAGCGAGGTGGTCCAGTGGGGGCTTTCTGACGTTGGGTATCCGGGTGGGGGTGGGGTGGGGTCTCTCTCGGTTGCCATAGCGATGCCGCCGTTTGCGTCGTTCTCGTCTCCCGAGCCTTTCCCCGCGTCGTTGGCCTTTGTGGTTTGAGCGGAACTGAGCAACTCAATAAGCAAGTGGGACAGAAAGATAACGCGCGCCCTTAAACGCACGATATTTAAAGACCTCGGTGTTCGTTGCCACGTAACCTAAAAATTCTAAAGTCGCGGGTGTTATTCTGGAGCCCATCTTATTGCCCCCACCCCCGCATCCCCAACAAAGATCTGTCGGTCTTTTGTGAATTATTCCTCTTTTCCTCTCTGTATCCCTTTAAAAGCGGCAGTGTTTTTCCAGATACTGGTCCGTTTCTCCATATTGGAGGAAATTGCTGATACTCGATATTCGCACAAGAGATGAGCAAGAATATAGGACTTTTAATCTTTAAATTAGAAAGGCTATGCTGCTGACTTTTTGGTGTGTTGTTTTTTAAATATAAAAAGCATTACGTAAGCGTCTACGAGTTCAAGGTCTAGATTGCACCACATTACAAATAATGGCTAAGCCAGCTGAACTCCCTGGAAGATTCAGTGGGGATATATATCCTTCAAACTAATGTTAACAATATATTTGCCTGTTGTCACGCCCTTTTGGTTTGGGATTGTTTGGCAACTTGTGTGTTTGAACTTCTGCTTGCTAAACTACTACAAGTGTTACATAGTGGGAAAGTATTGCTTCTTAATTTAAACAGTTGCAAAATAGAACTTTATCTAAGTATTTCTTAAGAGACCAGACAGGGTAGTAAATGGAAATAGCTTAAAATCTCAACGTTTATAGTTCATTTCTAAGTTGCTGTTCATTCAATGAAGTTGATTTGTAACAGTTATATATTGCAAAATGAAATTAAAACTTTTTAAAAAAAATTAATAATGTTGAGTTCAAAGTGCTTTTCAGCCTAGTCCTTAACTGACTTGCATTCATCATTTGTACATTTCTATCACACAGTTGATTGGCAATCCCAAAGAAAATGTGACTAGAATAATACAGTACTAGGTTTAGTGCAGGAAACTAATTACTGTATCTTCACACAGGTAGTGCTTACTGCATGTTTAACTCATTTGCCTCCCTGGGGCATTTTGAGAAAATCTTTGTGGTCTAAATAGGACCACATTCCCCCATATCTACAACTTCTATAAAAAGAGACATTTGTAGCAAGTTTTATTTTGGATGAAGCAAATCAAATTTTGAATTCCTATGGTGCTACTGTTGAAAACTTCTTGGTGCAGGGACTTCTTTTTCACCTTTGTTATTCATAACAGTCATGTACATTGATCACACTTTCATACTTGGCGTGGTCTATCCACACTGGAGATGAGGATTATCTTCTGCACGGAAGCGATAGATATTCTTTAAGTATTTTTTATATTTTTAGATGCCTGTGACAGTGGGGCCATATGGCCAATCCCAACCCAGTTGCTTTGACAGAGTGAAAATGGGCTTCATGATGGGCTTTGCTGTTGGTATGGCAGCGGGTGCACTGTTTGGCACATTTTCTTGTCTCAGGTATGTTGGAATGTAGTTGAATGCAACATAAATCCTAAGAAGAATCTTCTTTGTTACCTTTCCTGGCTTAGGAACAGAGCAAAATAATGCAATATGATTGTATCACAGGCGGTAACCATTTCAAGCAGGGATTCCATTTCCAGCCCAGCATGAGTCGGAGATGCAGATATATATGTGTCCCGCCCTCATTACAGCCATGGTCTGCACTCTTCCAAGTCCATAAAGACCCATGTGTCAGTGATTGCGTGTCAATTGGACATGCCCCAAATGGCCACCGCCTGTACTTAACAATCTTTTATTCTTACTTCCCCACCTGTTCTGTGGATTGTTGCCAGATAACAGACCATGACTGCAATCCTGTACATCTCTGAGAGCAAGATGCATTCATGAGTATAAAGCTTTAGATAAAATCTATAGTAGAAATTACTTCAGCTGGAGAGTAAGGTAAAGGTAAAGGTACCCCTGCCCGTACGGGCCAGTCTTGCCAGACTCTAGGGTTGTGCGCCCATCTCACTCAAGAGGCCGGGGGCCAGCGCTGTCCGGAGACACTTCCGGGTCATGTGGCCAGCGTGACATCGCTGCTCTGGCGAGCCAGAGCCGCACACGGAAACGCCGTTTACCTTCCCGCTTGTAAGCGGTCCCTATTTATCTACTTGCACCCGGGGGTGCTTTCGAACTGCTAGGTTGGCAGGCGCTGGGACCGAACGATGGGAGCGCACCCCGCCGCAGGGATTCGAACCGCCAACCTTTCGATCGGCAAGCCCTAGGCGCTGAGGCTTTTACCCACAGCACCACCTGCGTCCCTAGCTGGAGAGTAATTAGTACTAAAACTTTGTACTCTTAAACTGTGTTGGTGTATATATACTAGCAAAGTAAAGGATGGGGTTTGGGATTAATACTAAATCCTAGAAGATGTGTGTTTTCAAATGACCTGCTATCATTAACTTCTCTTTGAATTAGAGTTTAGTTTATGGGAAGTACTTCTGTTTGTTAAGTTGCACTGGCTGGCAGACCACCCCGTGCTTACTATGAGCTAACTTGCTGTATAGGTCACTCCAAAGTACCCACTCAAAATTAGTAAAGTTTATGTTGATTGCATTTCCCAGTAATCAGATACAAAATTATTTTCCTGTGATTATTGTGGGAAGTAACCACCTCTGTCATTGTTTCTTCTCTTTTAGGTTTGGCATGAGAGGGCGAGAACTGATGGGTGGTGTTGGCAAAACCATGATGCAGAGTGGTGGAACTTTTGGGACATTTATGGCAATTGGCATGGGAATCCGCTGTTAATGTTACTTTTCTATCACGAAGACCGATACCCCTGCAAGTTGGAACTTCTGCTATGTAGTAGAATAAAAATCTCTGCACCAAGATTGAATAATCCATCAAAATAAGTTTCGGCCTTTATTGCTGTAGCAAGAGTTTGTAAATCTTTTTCTCCGTAACAAAAATGGCAGAGGCAGTGGAGATTTAGAAGCAATGGAATCTCTGTATACAATGAATCTCCGTGGATGTCACCTCAAATAAATGATCAATTATAGGAATACCTATTAGAAGATGCTTTTTAATTGGTGTTAAGTGTTTCCTGCGTGGGTATGATTAGTTTATTACAAGATCAGCCATTGTTTATCAAAGGAATCTTCTGTCCGTGATTTTGTAAGCCAAACCAGGGAGGCTTGAATTTTTGCAAAAATCCCAAGTTTATGGAGGTGGAATAAAATTGGACGAAAGCGTGTATGTGACAGGATTAATTTGAATCATTGCATGGATAAGCAAAAGAAGTTGGTACCAAGCGTTTGCAGTGTAAGCCTAATAACAGTTTCATGTTTAAGTTGCACTTATTCTGGAAGAGTAAAAATAATTTTCATTGCATGTTTAAAGAAGTCCATAGCTTCCCACTTGGTGATAACAAGAACTTCCTGTTGTAGGATTGGATCACTACTATTATAGAAGGGGAGCTCAGGCCCTCTTATGCCTTTGAGAGAAGGGGATAATTAAATAACACAAGAAAATGAGAACTTGTTTGGGTATGTTGTGAATTGATTTGGCATATTCACCATATTAACAACTATTTTCACTTAATAGGCATAGTTATATAGGGTGCCACCCAACTGGTGTCACTTATAAAATAATTCGTTTTTACAGTTTCTACTTAAGAGTTTCAAATTTGTCTGAGCATAGCCTTCTCAAAATATAACCAAATTAACAAAACCTTTAGTTTAAAAATGTTGGGTTAAGAGCTTTTCATCAGTTGTCAAGGGCCATGCACTTTACAGATAGGGTATTTAGGTGATATGGTATCCTATGTTGCAATTCGAGCTTTAACAGCTGCATGGCTGTTAGCAGCAGAGAGGTGAACCTAAGTTCAATTTTTTTGTGTTCACTGGAATTGACACATGGGAGTTATAAGTACCCAACTGGCAACCTTTGCCATCCACATAGACATTATAGAGTAGTCCAGAAGAAAAGGCCATCAAGGTCATTGTGAGGAGTAAGAGATGATACAGCACTGGGTATGGACTTGCTTCTGCACTTCTTGTGCTGAGCAGAGTAGTACACTGCTCCAACTAATAGGCAGGCCTCACTAGGTTTTCCCTCTCCATTGGTGAACTTCGTCTGTCCCACGTCTCATTTTTAAAAATCACTCTGAGATGGCAAGAGAAGATGACAGCTGTGTATGCTTCCAACATTTGGTAACAGCAGCAGTCAATCTGTGGTCATGCAAACACTCCTGAAATTCCAAATGTGCCTGTAGGCCCAACATGGTTAGCGACCCCTCCTCTACACCGTGACACATGTAGCTTGGTTTTTAAATTGTAAGACATTCTGGTGGGTGGGTGTAAGGAAAAACTGAGTGCACTAAGGTGAACAGAGGGAGGGAGGGAGGGAAAGAGAAGCCCAACTGTCGCTGATTTTCCAGCATTTTGAACCAAACTATTCACAATTTGCATTTTTCTGGTTACACCTAATTTGAGTTCTCAAAAATAATGCTTTTGGAGGCCTTTAGGAGAATTTTATTGAGTGGTTCTTACAAAGATCATTGCAATATGAAAGTCATTTGTTGATAGAAATATCAAGCTGTTTTGTCAAACACATTGAAGTAACCCAAAAATATATTTCAGAGCTCACAGAGCTTAAAAAAGAGCAGATTATATGCAACCAGACAAAATATATTCCTGCATTTCCTACTTCAACTTTCAAACTTAGGTACATTCCCTGCAATCAATGGAACTTTAATCTGGAAATGCAGAGATAGCTTTGTTTGGAATTCTAAACACACCTTACACCTTATTTACAAGAAACTTTTACAGAGACAATCAAAAGTTACCATCTAGAAATAAAATCTTCTATAATCCTCCCAATTTTGCCAACTGGTCAACATTAAGTGAGCAGAACAGCTGGCCAAAGAAATCACTCAGTAGCCTCTCAAATTTTTGATCCATACAAAACACACTAAATATGTCCAGTTAAATCTGATATTAACCTTTAGCAGAGCATCTACATTTAGGTGAATGTAAAATGTAATACCTGCATTAAAAGAAAAGGCTTGTGAAACATTAAAATTTATGTCCTGTCCACCTTTTACAGAAAAATCTTTTCTATGAGCTACATCTGTTCCTACAGATCACTTTAGCCAAATGTTCTAAATGTACAAGAATTACAAGGCAGAACAAGTAGTCAGCTTTGTATACAGTGGGAATGCTAATCAAGAGAATGAACACACAGCATTCCTGCTTACTCTATTTTTTGTTTTTTGTTTAAAAGTAACAGGAAATGTACACAAAAGGACTTTACAGCCTTTCCTTTTGTCTTCTTCTAATTAAAAAGGTAACGCAAGTCTTCCTTCAAAAATAGCTATGTACAAAACTGACTAAATCCATCTTCATCGCCGAGCAGGAACCAAGAGCTGGGTTGCATTCATAGAATCAGGGAAAAGGTTGTGGTATGTTGGAAGTGGTACGTATGCTGCTGTGATCATTTTACCTAAAAGAAACGAGAGAGGGAAAAACTGTTTAAAATTCTTGTTTACTTTTTAAACAAGAATTAGCAAAATGAGAAAGGTGCAACGCCTATGAAGTTCATTACAAGACTATTGTAATCCTCCAAGGACTATTGTTTTAGTAAACTTCTATCCTCACAATGCATCTGCAATGCTCAGGGAGGTGTTCAACAACAAAAAGAAGAAAAAACCATAAAAATCATCTGTCCAACAAGAGCAATACTTTCCAGAATTAGAACTTGTTAACCAGTCCAATGAAAAAAAAATTAAGGTTACAGTAAGTGAACAGTAAAATATCACTGAGTAAAGCAGGGATTTTCAACCAGTGTGCCATGGCACCCTGGGGTGCCTTGAATGATGGTCAGGTCTGCAGGGAAAGGTGCCTTCTTACACTGCCTCACAGGGGCCTGGGAAGCACCCCCTGGCCAGCCCCAGAAAAACTGGGGAGCTTGTAGTCGAGTCTGCTGCAGCTAACAGCTGTGCAAGCCTTTTGAGAGGCAGAGACGCAAAAAGGCATCAGAAGGGGGAGGGAAAGAACGTCAAGACAGAGGCCAGTGTTGCCCATGGCACCCCTGACCATCATTCAAGGCACCCCAGGGTGCCACGACACTCTGGTTGAAAACCACTGCTGTAACGTACAAAGATCTGTCTGGCAAAGAAGGATGTGGCATCAAAGGCTACATTAAACTTAAATAGAACTGTTGATCCTCTTGTAATATAATTGTTGGGAAAGTATCCTGGGTAAGGGATGTCAAACTGAAAACAGGTGGAAGGGTTATGTATCTCACCCAGCAACTGCCCAAGTGCTGCTACACAAATAACCCTCTTTCCAAAAATGTCAATCCCATCTGAGTTCAACTGCAAATCATCAGTCTAGACAATTAAAAGTCTTAGAAGTTATTTAAGCAGCTCAAATCAACATGTGTTCTAAGGACACTGTCTTACTGAAGATAAATTTGCAGGGAGTATGGTAAAAATGCTGTGGTTCTCAGTGGAAGCCTGCAAATTGATACCACTCTCCCCAAGTACTTGTGATTACCTAGTTTTTTAGGTGGTGTTTTAAGAAACAACTCCCCTCACTGTTTACTTCTCAAAGTCCCAGCGGCTTATCTATACCTCTTACCTATGTTAGACAGCAACAAGGCATACATTACCTGAGGGTAACAGGGCGGTATATAAATTCTAATAATAATAATAATAATAATAATAATAATAATAATAATAATAATAATAATAATAATAGTAAACAACTTTAGTTCACATACCTGCAAACCACCTTCCATGTAATGCATTGACAGCTGCAATTGCTGCAGCTATTGAAGGGCATTTGACATACACGTTACCCTGAAATACAAACAATGTTTACTGCATTTAACAGATCAACTTGCAGATCAACAGAAATCAACAATTCAAGTTGTTGGAACAAAACTACAGATGAAATGTGAATAAATATTTTAATCCATCAAATGAATTTAATATACTTATATCTTGCCTTTTCTGCACAAAGTTAATTCAAGGCAGCTTATGCTAAAGTACTTCATGCAAGAAATCAAAAAAAGAAAAGGTAATTTTGTTCTGAATTTTTAACCTGAGACAAAAGTCTGATGGTAGCATTTTGTACCAACTGAAGTTTCCAAAAGCTTTTCAAGGGCAATGCCACAAAAAGCACGAGATAATTAAGGCTTGAAAGACTGTGGCATGGTCCAGTTTCATCAGGAAGGGTTGTATCTGGCCTATCAGTCAAAGGTGAGCACATAGCTACCTGTGCATCTGAAAGCAGAACTAGATTAAGGAGCACTCCTACATGATCTTGTAGGGCAGAGATGAGGAATCTGTCGCCTTTCAATTGTTTCTAGACTACAATTCCCATCATCTCTGACCACTAGCCATGTTGGCTGAGGCAGGTTGGGAGTTCAACAACATCTGGAGTATTACAGGTTCCCCATCAAAGTTTTAGGTGCATGCAAATCTCATTTAGGTTTCAGAGTGTCATCTTATTTCCTTTAACTGAGATGGTCTATGGCAGAGCTTTCCAAACTGTGTGTCATGACACGTTAGTGTGTCAGCTGTGGTGTGGTGTGTCACGTGAACACTCCCCACATTCCTCCCAGGATTGGAAAGGGATTAGTCCAACCTCCGGTTTGCTAGTAAAACTGAATTACTGTGTCCATGCAGTACTTACTGGACCTATATTCTTTGCAGCTAGTAATTCAGGATTCATAAGAATGTATTTTAATCTTGCAATGATGTACATAGTAATTGAATCAATGTCTGTATAGACATTTGTTCACTGACAACTGAGTAACAGAGTTTTCTGGCATCACACAGAGAATACTTTAGTTTGGTCTGTTTGTAGAACATAAAATTCTCCCAAGTACTTGACCATACTATCAGTAGTATAGCCACATCTCACATCTTGTAGAAGTATAGGAACAGATAGAAGTTACCACCTTTGGGTACTGATTTAATCAACATACCTGAGCTGAATTTTTGTCTACATAAATATGGACAACGCCTCCATGTTTGTTACACTCCTCAATCACATCATCCTTAATTTCTGTATCCCAGCCAGCGTCTTCTTCACTGAAGAGTAAGACAATAATTAATTAATTAATTATTCTTCATATGTATACTGAAAATAGAGAAATAAAACAGATTTTACAAAAAAAGAGAGATTAACTTACGTTTGAGGATTGAACATATTGGAGAGCTGGAAGCACTGTGTTGCAAG